TAGAGTATTTTCTTTTAAAGGGTGGTTTGTTTTTTTTTTAGTCAGATTGTAGTCTGTAACAAAAGGAAGTACACCAGAAGGCTGTTTTTGGGGATGAGTGGGATATAACATAATTGTTCATGAAATTTATGCGTTCAATATTTTCGTTATAGCATTGGATTTGAGCGTTGCTAGTTTGTATTCAGAGTTCCCTTTATTAAAATAAACACGTTTTGAAATTACAGTCCACTATTTTCATTCATCAGTATTATCTACATTTATTAAGTTATCAATTTTATCTTAGCAAGTTAATTTGGATCTTCTCTCATAACTGAATTCCCGCTTTTGCTTAAATAAGGGTCTGTTGTTTGAGGTTGGTCCATTTATGAAGCTTGTTCCGCTGTCTCTCTCTTTTTCTTATACCTGCGTTCATCGATAAGGGATTTGCTAGTCGACATGTGATAACGTTATTTGGAACAATGGACTTATCGACACTTACTAATCTTTCTGAAAGACGTAAAGTTAATTTGTGTTTGCATTTAATAGAATTATAAAATTGTTGATAAATTCGTTTAATTCTATAGGTCGGAATCTTTTACCTCAAGACTGCTTAGGTATTTACGAAAACTTGCAATATCACTATCGATCAATGATTTTATGGATGCACTAGCAGGATACCCGGCTTCGCTCGGGGGTCATAACTCCGAAACCGGAAGTGGTAGACTAACGCCACCTGGCCTATGTTACTCCCCTATACCCCAAATTTCAGACTCTGGGCAGACCTAGTGTAGCCGTCAACCCCGAACAGACCGGCTTCGCTCGGGGGTCATAACTCCGAAACCGGAAGTGGTAGACTAACGCCACCTGGCCTGTTACTCCCCGGTCCGAGCTACCCTTATACTCCAAATTTCAGACTCGGGGCAGACCTAGTGTAGCCGCCAACCCCGAACAGACAGACAAACGACAGTCACAAATATTAGTATAGATAGATAATGATGAACATATATTATTGCACATTAAACAGACAAAGGTTTAGGTACAACCTTACAGAAAGTTACCTCTCCCAACAATAAATTAGTAACTATATACATTAAAATGTTATGAACATAAACTCAAGAATACGAATATAACTAAAACGATAATTGAAATTGAAACGACAAAATATTAGTATTGCTTTAACAGGTATTATTTTACAACTAGATCACTATATTGTGAAGTCTGCTATTTCTTAATCAATGTTGAAGTGTATTAAAATACGATAATATATGTACATGTATTATAATATATATGAAATACGAAAACGAACTAAATTTTGACGTAGTACATACACGCCATTTGAAAACGACAGTGTATAAAATCAAATCATCGGACAACTAATGAATTTATAGCAATACGTACACATAAATGCAAGGTGTTATTTAATTCGATTACATATCGATTCTAGATAATATGCCAATAAATTCCCTTCCACAATAAATACGAAATGTTAGCGTGGTTAACACATGTAGCAATAGTTCATATCAGTTAAAGAAGACAACTAAAGATGACTAGACAGAGCAGAGAGAGACGGAGAGACCGACATATGGATTCGACCGAGTTCAGCCGCTGCCTTGGCAGAGGGGCGGAATGGTGGATTTAATATTGTTATATGTGTTCCTGTAGAAGTCTAGTTTCCGACGTAGTTTAGTTCATGTTGTATCTATGTAACTATTTGATATTCTGATCCGATGTAAATAAATCCTATATGTACGAAACTGATATCTGTTATCACTAAGATAGTGTTACACAGTAGCTTCATACAATTTCATTATGTTGGATAATTTATCCCTAAATTGTTAATTATAACCATATAGGTTTTTTTTTTAAAATTCTAACCAGGTTATCGCCCTTATTGTTTTTATTGTGTTTAGCGTTCACTGGATTTGATATAATATTATATATTTGGGGTGGGGGGGGTGCTTATTGTGTGGCGTGTGTGTGTCTTGTCAGTGGGTTTGTCTTATGGGCTTTTGTATGTGTGGGGTGCGGTTCTCCTGCACTTACTATTCGATGGTGTTATATGAAAACTCATTTTGTACATATGAAATGAAATGGGGTTTAACGTCCTACTGTTCTTCTCCGACTGGGATAATGAAGACGAGCATACGCCATGCAGTGTGCTATAAGGGAAATTTTGCCCAGACAGCGGCGCTACGGCCTACTCTTACATCGAATTCCAACTACCAGTGGATCTTTTACGGACGACTAGACAGCTGTCCTTGTCGGGTCCTCCGTTCCACACCACTGAAAACAGGGAGATCACCATATGGATCGAACCCGCGATCTCCAAGCAAGTGAGCCAGCGTCTTACTCACTTAGCACTGTGGCTCCAACTTTGTGCTGGACAACGATATAACATTAGGAAGCGCTATATGTATAATAAACCAATGATTGTACTCCATATAGATGGTCATTGTATTTATCAAACCACTTTTTTTTCTTAGCACCAATTTAATCGATTGAGCTCAATCCAGAACTTTAACCCTCAAAGTAACGATAGAAACAAGTAAAGTTGTCTAATATAACTAGAATTTGTCCACGGTGAAACAGGCGATGAATATCATTACTGACTTTCATGCATACCGTACATAATAATGTGCTACTTGTAGTAAAATGAAAAACCTTTACTATCAAATATTATTTAATGTTTATGGAAAATAGAAAAAAGCCTCAAATTGAATTCATTATGTTTGGTATCAACCGGGTTAACGAAGACCAGGCCGAATTCCAGCCGTCGATGTTTCTTGCTATGTGCACGCCAATGTATACAACGGGCTCAGATTTTTCGTATCATCTGATTGACAAGACCCTGTCGCATGCCAGGCCCTCCGTCCAGCACCAGCGAAAAGGGGAAACAACCCCTGAAAAATGCTGAGGATCGAATCCGGGGCCTCCAGTTACCGAGCCCCAAAGTATACAATTAACTCAATAAACCATGTACAGTCAGTCAGTACTATAAAATTAATTTGTTCATATTCATTAAAATAATATTTTACATAATAATATATTAACTTTAAAAGTCAGCTATAATAAGGCACCTGTCACTGACAATGTCCGGCACATATTCAGGCTTTGTCAGGTACAATTCCTCTGGTGCCTGTCATTTTGTCCGGCACTGATTTGTCTTTTTATTGATATTATTTATTATGTCCAGCACGAAGTTGAAAATTTCAGGTACTATTTCATTAGTGCCTGACATTTTGTCAGGTACATCTTAATCCGTTATTTCCAGGCCTGCAGCTATACTATATTAAATAATTTAAATAATTTAAAAGAAAACTACGTAATAGTTATATACCTTGTTTTCAAGGTGTATGGGTTGATTCACCGAGAAAACAAGGTATATAACTGACTTATACTAAATAGACATGATTTCTTTTTTTCCCAATTTCAAAAGTATTTTTCATTTCACAAATTTATCAAGGTTTCCCATGCAGCGTCCCTCAATTATCTCATCGTACGTGCATTTCACGGTTTAAATCAGGTCACGGAATGTGTTCATAACAGAGTTATTGATTGGTTGAAAAAAGCAAAAGTCATTCAATCATTTTGTAAAATAATCATTTCCTGTTGTTTTTCCTACATTCTGGTTGCGTCGATTGAAGTGGATGGAAAAAAATGGATGGAGAATTGGCTTTTTAATGAATGCCCCAGATATATATATTCCCGAGACCGTGAATATCAGTTCTGTCAGCGCTTGGTACCGGAGGCAAGGTGACAGAGGGTCAAGGCTGCTTGGTGATTCTGCAGTGGACTTACTCCAGGAACGGGCGATAAGTGGGGTGCCCCCCCGCCTCCATGAATAAATATCTCCAAATAACTTGACAATTATACCACAATATTTATATACATACCAAGCCTTAAATCAGTTTCGCACTGAATAAACTGAATAAACGGTCATGTTGTACTTAATAGGGCCTAACTTATGACCATTAATTTAACCATCTCGGCCAACGCAGGGACCAAACACTGAACCCCCAGGCAAGCAAGCCAACGTCTTATTGACTGAGCCGACATGTCTCCCAGCTATAGATGAACGATGATGTACAGTTTCAGTTTGGGTGAAGATGTGTTCTTTTAAAGAAATTGTACACCGGTTCGTGGTTTCCAACAGTTACAATATAATTTGATAATGACGTCATAATAAGGTCGTAGGTAAAAAATGTTTGCATTTAACTCGCGAGTATCGATTTCGTATGGGTCGTTAATTCATTTTTTTACACTAAAGTCAACCGATTCACAGATTTCAGCGATTTTCTGGTCCACTGGCGGCCATCTTGGATTTATGTTAATTATGCAAATTCCCCCAAGACCGATAATGGCAGCTTTTATTATAGAAGTACTAAAGACCACACCTGAACAATTCCCAAAGAAATGATTTCTGTTGCAATTTGTTCTTGGTGCATTGTTATCTACACAAGGCTATTTGGGTGTTTTATGGCGACGGAGAGAATTTGAAAATGACAACCCCCAGTCACGAAAATATGGATTTGTTTAAAACATCTCTATTGCAGATCATCAAGTGTTTACTTGACACAAACTAAGGACTTTTGACACCCCCCCCCCCTCCACGAATAAGTAGTAGGCCTAACTAAAATATGGAATTTAGTGAAATGTAGCTTCATACTGATATATTTTATAGTATAAAAATATCCAGGCATATTAACATAACCATACATTGCTGACTCGTACAATTTGTAATAAATACTGAGGTTTCCCAAGTGAAAATACAAAATACATGCATCAAGAATTAAAAACACCATGCGGTATTCATCATTATATAAACTAAACAAAAGAATATGACAGTATAAAGAATAGTCACCTTTTTTACAGAACTGAAACGCGGAAAAAGTTTCTTTTTACGCCATTTTTTTGATTTGACAGACATCCTGTTTGTGTAAGATTGTTGACCGGGATATAACCCCTGCTCAAGATACAGGGTATATAAATGCTTGCGATCTGATAACTTCACAACATTGTCTAATATCACAGCATATTAAACAGCTCAATCAGGTAAGTCTTCTAATTCATTTATTACTTTAAGCTAAGTGAGGTAATTTTGGTACTGCGGCGACGTTGACAAATACAAGGAGTTTCGACACCTTTCGTGAAACGTGCAAGCTACAGAGAAGCGCCCCCACTTTGTTAAGAAAGGATTAAGTCTACTGGTTGATGTGAAAAGTTTTACAAATCTATGATGCACTTTCGCGACTTATAACGACTCCTTTACATGAAGTTAATGGATCGTTATCTTTGACGGAGAGAAAGTATGTTGCTGGAAGCCCCGTAGTGCAAATCCTATAATTTTTCCTACAGATTTATGCTAAAAAGGAAAATATTATAGTATTCTATAGATTTTTTTAATAGTGTTTCTGTAGTAAATTCCACCGTTATCTTTTTGTCTTTAATTTTGTCTGTTTTGTCTGCTGCTATTCCTTTATATCCGTCTTTAATATATTATTAATTAAAGTAGCTAAGTCTCTAACTCAATATCATCCAAAACCTTCGACAATGAAAACGCGAATTATTGGTCAATTTTAATCAACATTGGTGTTGTGATCTTACCGAGAAAAGATGGGCTTCTGATATAAATATATTTAAGACAAAATAAACATTTTACGATTGGTACATGAATCGTGTACCATAATGCATTTCAGTGCAATTTGTAACAAGCGACTCGAAGAACGATGTTAGACACATTCCACAAGTCCTGTCAAACGGTGATCCCATATTCTTATCTGGAGAGCATGCGCAATAAATATCGGTGTAGACTGGAATAACCAGACGCTAGAGATTGACACTTTTGGCGTATTTCCTCGAACATAACTGTTTTGAAATTAGAATCATATCACATTATTATATACGTTGCAACCCATTTGTGTCAATTTGTAGGTCCCAAATATTAGCGATTTAGCTCCTTTAATATCATTTTTTTTGCAGGATTATAATTCAAAATGTCTTCCCATAGTATATTATGTGTATTTATGGTTCTCGTCGCAACTGTTTATAGTCAGGGTAAGAAACTTTATATTACAGAAAACTTTAAGGTATAATAAGAAATCTTCATATCAAAACCCCATTTAAATAGTAAGTGCAGGGGGACCGCACTAAGACAAACCCGACAAGACAAACCTGCGGACAAGACAAACTACATAGACATTGCAAGAATAAACAACGTATTATCAAATCAAGTGAATGAATCCGGGGGCCAACCGTAAGCGTCCACTGCTATGTACAGTCCCGAGCCTGAATGGTGCAGGTTTCAATCAAAATGAAAACAATATTTACAAGAAAGACGCATGGTACCAGAAATAACGCGACCGATCTTGGCGGAGGTCGTCTCTTGAATGGCAATAGTCTGCCAGTTGACGTTATAATTTAGAATGTCAAACAATTTTAACAATAAGGACGATAATCCGGATAGAACCTCGGAAAACGCTAGATAAAGGACAAGTACTTCCTTGTTTACGGTAGATAAATGCATAAATAAATAAAAAATACATCCAGGTAAAAAATTCTCTACTTTACTTCATTTTGACATACATTAATTTATATAAGCTAGTTGGTTGTCCTCTATAGGCGTCTTAAGATATTAATAATGTATACAAAATTTTTGAAAATACGATACTTATTCTTAGAATAAAAGATTTCCACGACAATGGATTATAAATAATATTAGATAACGTACAATGAAAGGTTTAAAGTATATAATACATAACATGACTTTAAATACATAGTCTTCCTTGCGCAGTTTGATAATAGCCAATACAGGAATAATGAGATGAAATCAATGTTCATGGACCAAGTATGTAATATGGCTATAAGACTTAACCTTTCATTAATTTACATAGTCTTCCTTGTACAGTTTGATAATAGCCAATACAGGAATAATGAGATGAAATCAATGTTCATGGACCAAGTATAAAATATGGCTATAAGACTTAACCTTTCATTAATTTACATAGTATTCCTAGTATAATCTGACATTAGAAGTGAAGAGATTAATTAAATGTCAATAGATCAATTATGTAATTTTACTGTAAACTTAACCATCCATTAGCATTTATATCAATTTTATTCTCTAATAAACCGATTATAGAAAAATAAAGATATACAGGGTTTAAAATCTCCTTAAACAGTGCCGAAGTAAAAAGTGTAAAAACATATATTTATTTAAATATTATTAGAATATATTAACACGATGGGAAGGGGGCAAATTAAGCATTTAAATCTGGTAAGAACCAGTCAATAAAGTATGTCTCCACATTCCGTCTCTTATTAGTATCGTCAAAAATACTAAGTTTACTATTTAAATTCTTAGCACAAACAGTGAAATGTTTTGAGACTTTCAAAACAGGATTAGTTTGTAAACTGGGTATCTCAGTGACGTGCAGAAGATTGGTGAGGCCCGGGGCCAACTCCTTAGTTGTATGTCCCCAAAGATCGAACTAAAGGGTCTAGTACTGAAAAATGTAAAAGGAGGGTCGTTTTAAATATATCAATAGAGACGAAATAAACTTTTTATTCAAATTAAGTAGGACAACTTGTACGGTGATAATTTTATTAAATTATTTGATTGGGTGCTCTGTCTCCCTAAAATGGATGCCCGGGGATGTGCCCCCAAACTCCGTGTGACTGTTCCTAATACGTTACATCTAGTGCTTAACCCCCAATTCAAAGACCATTTCGATATAGTTTGGTTGAATTTATTATTTTATTTTTATAGTTATACTACCTCCGACAATAACAGGCGGACCAGGTATTGTAACCAACAGCCAAAACAATCCTAGCTACTACCAGAGCATCTCCGGACAACAACAGCAACAGGGGGTCAATCAAATTGATCCCATGACTCTGCTATTATTGACTCGAGGAGAAGGTGGAATTAGACGAATCCTCCCGTTTCTATTATCTGGACAATTTGGACAGAACAACCAACTTTTAAACATACTGTTGCTTAGATCTCTTTCTGGATAATCTTTGAACTCACATTATCTATAACTCTTTTTCTTGCATTATTTCATGTTTAAAACTTACAACATTAAATTTGTATCAGAGTAAATCAGTATGTATGTACATGTATATGGAAAATAATAAAAAATAATTCCATCTAATAAAATCAACCACTTTTACTTTATTCTGATATACATCAGGCCTGTCATTGAGTCAGCTGGCGTGGTTTCGATTCCCCGGTTGTACATGACAAGGAGTAGGGTCACCTGTCCAACCTCGTGGGTTTTCTCTGGTTCCTCTGGCTTCCTCCCACCGCTAAAGACCCTTATGCACAAGCGAATTAGTGAAATAAAATAGAACCATATGTTAGTCCCGAAATGACCTAGTTTGTGTCTAGTGACGTTAAACCCCATTTTTCTCTCTCTATCTTTTTCAAATCATAAGTTAGCTGCCTGCCCTTCATAGGCCTCTTCAGATTATTGATTATAATATACGTTCAGCCAGAGCCAAATAAACCGTCTGGACACCTTAGGCCATGGTTGCCATATGTGTTACCTATAGTACTGCTAAGTTTAATAGTCCAACATTTGAATAAAACAAATATAAATTAATGGGTGTCGGTGAAAACGAATGGTAGGTATGCATAACAAAATAGTGTGCAGAGGCGGAAAGTATTTAAGAATCTGTAATATACACTGGATGAGAAACACAGTCAACAGACACAAATGCATCTTAGCATTTATTAGAGTACCCTACGTTGCGTACTTCTGAGATAATAGAGACTTTTGGCAAGAGGAATTTTCCTATCCGTATCACGTATCCGTATCGTATACGTGATACGTTGCGTCAAAGTAGTTTTAGATTTTTGGCAGATTTTTGCGTCGCGTACGTATGAGTAACTGGGCTCAACTTAGTTCTATTTCAGCATGATGGCAGATATCTACCAAGATCACCATCAGTACTAGTCAAGTGCCTATTATAGTCTACAATTTCACGGAGGGAATGAAGTCGCTCGACAGTCGCTGAGCTATTAAAAAAAAATTAATGTCGAATCTTATTAAAAATCTTCGACTTCGACTCGACTGTAATTTTTGGTTTCACTAATGTATCATTTCATAAAGTTTATACCCCTTTACCACAGAATAAAATCATTTTCAGATATGCAAGGTTCCGCCTCCCTAAATTTAGCACGTAGATCAACCATCATGGTTAAAATCACATCAAATATAAACCTTCGTGTTCTAGAATACACAAAGATTCATAAAAACGCTATGATACAACATTTCAGCGTCTAAAAGTAGCAAAAAAGACGGTAAAAAGACACGACAATGTTATACGGACCTGTTCCGTATGAAAGCTGTTCGATACGTGCTGCCGTATCCGTGTGTCGTATCACGTATGAGAAATACACACACATTGATGACGCCACAGGCAAAATCCATACGGATACGCGATACGGACCAGAAATTTACGCTTGCCAAAAGTCTCTGATGTGCTCCTCAATCTCCGTGACCAAGATCTAGCGCCGCCACAGAGACTTCATTGCACATTTGTAATGTTTGACTCTATGTTTCTTCGTAAACTTTCTTGTTAAAGTATTAAAGGTGACGATAAAAACCTAAATTATTGTTTTATTTAATGTTTATAGTTTTATTTAATGTTTTAATTAAAATCGCAATACAAGATTTCACAGTTTCAAATATATTACGTCTGTTAAACCTTTCTAATTACCCCATTGCAAAAAAATTGAGACAGCTGCATACATTTCGTCGTACAATCAGTTTTTATTATGAAATATCCCCATTAATAATTACCCAATCTTAACCATATTTATATAACAAGGGGTGGGTTTAACTTCCACTCGACACAAACTAATTCCCTTCGAGGTCAACATAATATGGTTCAATTATATTTCATTATAATAATTCGCATGCATGTAAGGGTCTTCAGCAGTGGGGGGAAACCGGAGGACCCACAGAAAACAGACGAGGTTGGACAGGCGACCCCACTCCTGTCACGTATAAGCGGGAAATCGAAACCACGCCACTTGACTCAATGACAGACCTTGTGATGCGTATGCAATATTGAATTATCATTGATTTTCTATCAATTTTAATATCAACTACTAGATTAACATAAAAATCAATATACCATATTCAACGTTATATCGATTGTGTCCTATATGGAACTGTATGGTCAGCTGCTGTAATTGCTCAACGATCATTTTTAGTTGTTAAAAATGAATTGTGCCGTCTTCTGATATTTGTGAAAACGTCTAAAAAATATTTCTTGAAGTTCAAACTGAATTTGTTGATGGTTGCCTATATACAAATTTAAAACTTTACAATTCAGGCATTTCATTAGATTCTAAATTGTCCCATTTCGACAAGGACCCACTCTAGGCTATATGCTTGTATAGCCTATAAATTCTGATACAGTCATTCTGCACTTGCTCTTTCTATACCTTATTTTGTCTGCATACGGGGGGGGGGGGGGTCGCAGTGGCTCAATGAATAAGGTGTTGGTTCACTCCTGGAGTTCAGCGAGAAAATTCCTCGGGATTTTTACTACATGGTTTCTTGTCAGTGGAGAAGGCAAGGGAACAGAATCTATCCGTTCAGATGGGGCGAAAAACCACGTACACCTTAGTGTACACGTCAAAAACCATTGACTGTTGAATTTCGAATTAAGAGTAGGCCGTAAAATCGCTGTCAGGGCATATTACATGATATATGCATTAGCCCGGATTGCAAGGAACAACGTCTACCAATTTGGATTGGACAAAAAAAAACAAAACAAAAAAACACAGAATACACCAGTCCAAAGATGGACAGATTTCTGAAACGTACACATCAACATCGATAAAGATATTGTATCAGGTTTACACCCCAAATTAATTATTAGAGTCCAAGTTCGTTTAATTCCAAAGCCATTAAGATAGGGATATAACTTTTACTTAAGACTCCAGGCCAATGGGCACATAGATTCCCTCATGCTGCATTTTCATCAAGTTAAAAGTTGCGGACTTAATTGGATTAAACAAATAACTAATTCGCTGTCAAGACGTGTATATTTAAACTAGTTTTTAAGCCAGGAAAGTGCAGCGGTCACACATTTATCCCTGGCACTTTAACTGTTTTGACCTCGTAGTTTTGACAGATATATATATATATACTATTCAAAAAAAGTAGGGGATATTTGATTTTTAAGTGTTATTAAAGTCACCTAATGAAACTGACGAAGAAACAAATGACAAAATGAAATGAAGTTCACATTCATCGATTTATTCCAAATGATCGTTAGACTAAGTAAGGCACAGACTGACCATTATAAGGGTAAAATGATACCCGGGGTCAAACAGCAAAGTTACCACAGCATCACAACCAGGTCAGTAACGGGTAAATCCTCCTCTGTTTGCCAAACAAGCATTGATCCGACGTGGCATACTCCTAATGAGACGTCTATGGTCATTTTGGTCCAGATTGTCCCATTCCTGTTGCAACGCAGCGGCAAGTTCTTGGACATTGGCAGGACGTTGTTGACGTAACCTCTGTCCAAGCATGTCCCAGACATGCTCGATGGGGGAGAGGTCGGGACTCAGTGCTGGCCATGGTAATGTGGTGATGTTCTGTTGTTGGAGGTAACCTGTAACGATCCTGGCCCTGTGACATCTTGCGTTGTCATCCTGGAAGATGAAACGGCGGCCATGACGTCGTGCGAACGGCACAACATGGACTGCCAAGATGTTGTCCCGGTAGTACTGGCCTGTAACACGCCCTGCAACAACATGTAAAGCCGTTCTTCCAGCAACAGTGATGCCTCCCCACACCATAACAGAACCACCCCCAAATCGATCATGTCTGATGACGTTAACGTCTTGGAAGCGCTCGTTTCGACGACGCCACACCCTCCTACGTCTGTCCAAAAAATCAACAGTGAACCTTGACTCATCTGAAAACATCACATTGCTCCAGCGTCGATTATCCCAGTGTTGACGATCCCTACACCAACGACGTCTTGCCTGAATGTGATGATCTCTCAAACAAGGGATCACGCGAGGACGTCGGGCGCGAAGGTGACCCCTATGCAGTCGATTCCGAATCGTCTGGCCACTCACTCTCACACAAGTGTCTGTTTGAAGACGAGCGCTGATCTGATTTGCTGTGATGACACGATTTCTCAAGGCCAAGGTACGGATAAATCGATCCTGGGCTTGAGTTGTCGCCCTTGGTCGACCTGAGCGTGGTCTGTCCTGTACAGATTGTGTATCACGGTATCTGGATCATAGCCTGCTTATGACAGACTGAGAAACATTCATCGTCCGCGCCACAACCGCCTGTGTTGTGCCGATCTGTAGCATGCCAAGGGCACGTAACCTTTCATTTTGGGTAAGCCGACGCATATCAAAATTTGTTTTCTGGTCACTAAAACAATTAAACTGATGTTTCCACCCTGGAATTCAATGCCACAATGACTGTAACATTCAAAGTCAGAGTCGTGCAAATCTTGGGTTGGACCCCCATGATGATCCCAAGCATCACCTGCATTCCATGCGGTAGCTATTGGTGCGTTTGGGCGTCACATGTAACTGGAAATGTTTCTTCTGTTAGGTTCTATAGTGACTTTTTTCGAAGTCATTTGCATATTTTAGTATTATGCCCCCAAAATCAAATATCCCCTACTTTTTTTGAATAGTATATTACTGCGTGTGCCCAAAGCATTTTTAAGCCACCCGATCATTGAAATAAGTCATCCCAGACAACAGGTCAAAAACTGTTTAAATAAAGTTATAGATTCGTGTGGCTACTAAAACCCTTGTCTCAAGAAGTTAAAACCTCAACAGCGAGTGCCTGGGAAAGCCATTGTGGCTAGGCTAGGCGGGTAAGACGTTGGCTAGCTAACCTGGAGGTCGGGTGTTTGATTCCTGCATCGGACCGAGAAAGTTCATCAAGATTTTCCGAGGTGGTTCCCCCTTAGCAGGGGTACAGAACAGAGAGAGAGAGAGAAAGAGAGAGAGCGAGAGAGAGAGATGGGGTTTAACGTCCACTCGACACAAACTAGGTCATTTCGGGACTAACATATGGTTCAATTTTATTTCCATAATTCGGTTGCGCGTAGGGGTCTTTAGCAGTGGGAGGAAACCGGAGGACCCGGAGAAAACCCATGAGGTTGAACAGGCGACCCTACTCCTTGTCACGTACAACTGGGGAATCGAAACCACCCCAGTTGACTCAATGACAGACTTTATGATACAGCACGCACATGCTAACCATTCAGCTAACCAACCCCCCTACAGAACAGAGAGCCTGACAAGGGACAACATATAATTGAAAGGATGGGACGGAAAACCGGGGTCCTGTGTACACATTGGCATAGACGTAAAAGATCCCTTGACAGTTAGAATTCGATATAAGAGTATGTCGTAGTGCAACAGCCCGTGCAAGATTTCCCCTCATAGCACACTGTAAGGCGTATGTCCGTCTTCATTAGCCCGGTCAGGAGCAGAACAGTAGGACATTAAACTACATTTCATTTTATGTTCATTTCATTTATCAACAATTTTTACAAATTTTACACCACAAAATAACATTACTGACACTGTTGTTTCTCATCTGATTTTAATTCATTTAGTTAACACACTATTATATACAATTACGGATACTGGACAATGAAAAATACAATTACTCTTGTAAATTATGTGTATCCAAATTCAAAAACTTCTTGGATGAAAGAACATTCCAATTCAACCTTCAATGAATTATATATAGATGTACACTTTAAAAATTGAATAAATACTGGTAAAGAAATCTTCTACAGGAAACAGATTTTGGAATAGTTTCAATTTAATAATTCAATCAAAATATATTATTCCAAGATATCAACTTCAAAATATATTTGGAATGATTCTCAAAACGTTTAACAAAATGAAAAATAAATAAAATCTTGCTTTCAAAAATTGTCTTACAATTAGCTTGTCAATTGGTGTACATAACTTTGTGCATGTAGTGTTTTTCAACAATTTTATCAAATGTTCAAAATAATCTGTAGACACATCTGTTTGTATTTAGTTTTCTTCATTTCATTCATCCACTGCTTTATTCAATGTCCACTATAATATTAACAATCTGGAAAATAAAAAATATTTCATAGGACAATTGAATAAAACAGGCTCAGATGAATATAGAGATAAATTAATGACAGTATACATAATTGTCACATTTGGCATCTACTACAGATAGTATATTTGATATTGCCATAACAGTTTTCTGATGGGCCTCTTTTAAAACTGATTGAATCCAAGCTGGGAAACTATGTAGTATTGATATTTGAGAACAATTTTAGCCTTGATTAAGCTGTGGAAAATTTGATAATTTCCAGGCAAGAAACATACGACCACAGCAGCTAAGTTGTCTGGGCAGTCAACAAGGGTTGTCGTATATTTTTTCTATTGTCAGTAAGGAGAACATTTACAACACATGAAAATCTGACTACGAGTAATAACCTGTTATTTAATCATCACAAATCATTAGAATTTGTTTTTATTGTTTGTCTCATGACCTTAAACAATTTATATTAACTTTAGCCTCTAGAATGCCCACAAGATTTTTCAAAGCGATCAAGGGCCATAGCTCTGGCAGTAATTGTCGGAAAATTGTTGAAAATGAATAGGATTCTTCGTCTCATGACCTTAAACACTGTGTGTCTATAAATTTAAAGTCAATCGGGTATTAACTGCAGCCTCTAGAACTCTACATGATTTTTCAAAAAGGTCACAGGCCATAACTCTGGCAGTAACTATCAGAAACAGTTGACAATCAATAGGTGTCTTCGTCTCATGACCTTAAACATGAGCGTCCACAAGATTTTAAAAAGTTATCAAGGGCCACAACTCTGCCAGTAATAATCGGAAATCGCTGAAAATCAATAGGTATCTTCGTCTCATGACCTTAAACACTATGTATAAATTTAAAGTCAATCGGATATTAACTTGAGTCTGTAGAGCGTCCACAATCCAGATCGACAGACGGGGGCGACGACAATATACAACCACATTTCAATGTGGGCGTAAATAAAATGCATGATTTTATACTATTACCTATTAAACATTAATACTACACAAATCCACCCTCTTTTAATTTTCCGACTAATTCTTCGACAGTTTCTAGTTTTTGACCAGCTTGTCTAACTGGTGGATCTTCTACCTTTAATACTTGTTGATGTGCTTTGATCTCCACTCCATAATCAGAAGGTTTTTTCTTGGCTAGAGGTTTTTTCTTTGCTTTCTGTAATCAGAAATAATGAAAACATGATTTCAATAATTTTGCTTAGTTCAAACTTGGATTAATGTGATGATCTGATCAATTAATGAAAGTCTCTGCACCAACATGGCTAATTAAGACTGATATACACTGTGCAATATGCAATTCCAACTGTCCACAGTTCTTTTACGGGCACACTAATGTTTTTCTAAACAACTAATTGCTTTTGATTGCCTGACCCTATATCTTTCACCACTGACCAGTCTGAAAATCTGGAAAAACTGTGTTCAATACTGAAATCAAAGTGAGGGCCTCTTAGGTAATGATTTGAATAAATGAAAAGAGGTTTAATGTCCTACTTTTCTGCATCTACCAGGTCAACTAGGATCCTCCATACTGTGTGTTATGGGGAAAATTGTGCACAGAATTGAAACTGTCAAGGCTTCTTTTACATGCAAGCCAACTTGTACATAGAGCATTAATCAATATTTGATAACAAAATTAAAACAAGTATTAATAATAAATGTAAGGCGTATAGAATATCTAGAAAAGTACATACCATTATATTAGGTAAAGTTGCATAGCGTGGTTCATTTAATCGTAAATCAGCTGATATGACAACTGGTAATTTAACTTGTATAGTCTCTAAACCACCATCTATTTCTCTTGTCACTTTGAAACTATCATTATCCTTCTCAATCTTAGAAGCAAATGTTGCCTGAAAAATTTATTATACAATAATAAATTCTAACAAACATTTATCATACAATTATAAACCCTAAGAAAAATTTAGCTTACAAAAATAAATCCCGAGAAAAATTACCATACAGAACTAAATCATATGGGATAATTGTTTTTGAATATGATGAAAACTCTTCAGATAGCTACTGAAGCCATGGATATATTTATTGACTAACACATGTGTTCAAAATTAAAACTTTATTTCTGAAACTAGCTCTATTTATAAAAGTTCAATTTATGCAAATTATTGTTTGAGAGAAAGAAAAAAATATTGATATCTTTAACATTATAATTACTAAATTATTACTGTTAGAGCAGGAGAGAGATATTTTATAAGGAACTATTTGGTCGTGTATTACTCATAGAGCAAGGTCATGTAACACTTTCTTGTAAAATGCAGTTTTCCTATTCAAATTTGCTGGTGTTCACATGGACATTTAGTGTGAGTACTTTGTTTTATGATACCTCATAGTGTATTGTAGACATACAATTAACAACAATCATAAAGTACCTGTGGCCAGTTTAATAAAGATGCTGTCATCTGAGCTGTTTGATTACAATCATCATCTATAGCCTGAAAATATAATTCATTTATAGGTTCCAATCAAACAGGTTAATAGTATAGCGAATACCCTGCCATGGGAGGATGGAACAAAACTGTACTTAGTAGAAGCAGGCTTTGTTTGATGCTTTATTTTAAGGAGTCAGTAAAAGTTAAGATGGAATTACCCTGTTGGTTTCAGATTACTGTCTCTTCGTATTGAAAAGTAGCATTTTGTTAAAGAAGCTAGGCCATATTCTGGTTCTCAGATATGGTCATGTCACACATACAAAGGACTGCATGACTGGTATTTATTTTTAAAAAACACCATTGATTACAGAGAGTTCATATTTCCTGGGTCCAAGGGAAGTAACTCCATTAAATATGTCTTGTTGAAAACAGAAATGAATTTCTATTTATATAAACAGCAGGAATGTTATGTCTGTAATAAGTCATTTAGCCACATGACATTTTGACAAAAGGAAACTCTCCATCCGGTATCAGATTTGTTTCAATGAGTGTCTGAGAACCAGAATATATTTTCTACATAACTGAAACTTTACCTGTTTTCCAAGCATAATAATGTCTATTTTTTCTTCCTGGGCTACTTTTGATAAAAGTTTAGCTACGTGTATCGGTTGTATAGTCTCGGCTTCTTTACCATCTATCTCTACATGTATAGCACGATCTGCTCCCATTGCCATGGCCGTCCGTAATGTTTCCTAAAATATATAAATGAAGTAAAATTACACAAGTCTTGACTTGATTTCTTTTAAATAGAACAGAAAAAACAAATACATGCCATACAACTCTACTCATGTTTTAATACAGACAGATTAGCTATACTAGATGTCAATGTGGCTTTATCTTAAATTGTGTACATCATATAAAATCTTTACCGACAGAAGCAAACTTAGCCAAAACATTAAGAGAAATACTTTGTATCTGAGGTAATTCCTCTATATTTGTTAGATCAGTAATGACACTACAGTAGAGTAGGCTCAGAAGCTGGTTCAACCTTCTCAGATGGCTTCAATGTACAAATTAGTAGTGCACACAAAAGATGCCTTGGCAGTTTGAATTTGAAGAAGAGCAGGTGGAAAATAGAAATTACCAATTTTGTCTCAAAATAAGTGAAACAATGTGTTACGTTTTTAAAATAACATAACATCAATTACCTGAGAAGCAGTGGGACCACATGAGAATGCTATAACTTCACTGGCCAATTTCTTTTCTTTCAATCTTATTGCCTCTTCAATAGCAATTTCATCGAAGGGGTTCATACTGTGTTTAACTCCATCTGTTACCACACCCAGTTTATCTGGCTTCACGCGAATCTACACAATAAAGACAACAAAATTAAATCTATTTATGTAATTCACATCCGGTTTCTAAATTTGTCAAGCAGAAGAGTTTCATAACGACTAGTCTATGCCTCCTGGATTTGGCTCAACTAAACAAATATATGCAAATGGAAATAATAATAATTGTTTTACCTGCCAATGAACTAGTATCTGGCCTTTTGAATTTAGTGCTAGGCTAGACTATTAAAGATATCATTAAAAACAGTGGGTGCCTTATTTGCCGACTTGCATGTTATCATGTAGGCTACGGATAACATATAGTAGCACCTGTTTCTCCAAGACTCAAAGTAGTGTGCAAAACAATGGATCTACCGGACATCAACAGTTTTTTCTTACTACTAAGTGTTGCATCTGCTTATAAAATCGTATCAAAGTAATTCTTTAATTCAATGCACTTAAAAGCAGCAATCATTTAACTAACATGGATTATGCAAGAGGTAAATCTACCTATTGCAGGTCTTTCTTTCGGCCTGAAATGTTATATAATCTAGATGAATTAGCCTAGACATTTATTTACATGAAAATACTATAATCAACTCTCGATGTCATCTTTTGTGTCAGATTTTCATTGGATCTGAATCCGATCTGCTGTTCTCAATGCCCATTGATGATTAACCGCAAAAATGGATAATCGAGACTTTGTTTATTGTGATTTTATCTAGTGATTTTAACTATTATTATAGTGAGAACTACCAGCTCTTTATCTAATCTACCATAATGTATCTTTAATTTTAATAAAAATGAAATGTCTTTGGACCTTTGCAGTGGTGTCTGGCTGTCTGCACAAAAAAACTTAGGGGAGATCAACCCTAAACCTGTCAAAACTGGCTGAAAATAATAGACATGTCAGACCTTATACGCAAACGGTACAAAAATTTATTTCTAATTTTATCAAATGCGTCCAAATTAGAGTTCATTAAAGACGAGAATTAACCTTGACTGCATAATCAATGACTCTTTTACAACCAACAAGAACTCTGTATGCTGACATGTTGTTTTATAACTCAACCCCTTCTTCGAGACTGTTTTCTACTGAAGAAACGACCTTTGGCCGTCGAAGATTTAGGGAGTACTTAGCGCATTATTTTCTTAAAATAATATTTCATATACAATCGGAACATTATGGCTATGCAAACATTTAGTTTATAAATAAATGCATTATTATATGATTCATAAATATCCAATTCAGTATAATACAATACATTGCTATTGGTTATTCGTTCATAAATAAAAATCCTGATTAGAAAAACAAACTGCTCCCATGTGAATTCTTGACTATCCAGTCGAATTGTTTGCATCACGAGGTAAAAGACTATGTTTATATTTTAGAATGTTTCGAATTAAGGTACATTAATACTGTAGCGTGTACAGTTTTATTTCGAAATTGGGTATGCATTGTCAGGTTGATCGGTGTTTTATTAATTCAAAATAAATTAGTTTATTACTGTTAGGCCTAGTGTTAGTGAACGGCTCTTGTAACCTTTAAAATGGAGTTACCTCCCATGATCTTTAGAACTAACTTAGTAACTTTGATAATACCATAGAAATATGTTTGATACGATTACGCGTTTTACCACTAGATAAACTTTTGTTAATATTAGAAAATAGACTGAAGCTAATAGTTTCTTGGACCGACTTTTGAGCCTTGTAATGCTTTGAATGCCCCAAAGGCCTTTTCTTGCCACATTTTTCCTCAAAATATTCAATTCCACCGCACCAAGCGCCCAAGACCAAGAATGCTTTTCAGATGATTAAATTCATAGCGATGTCAATTTTTTTTACAATCGATTTTTTTTTTCATTGTTGTCACTATTTGTTTTGGTTTTTTTTTTTCCAATCCGACTGATAAAGAAACCTACATGTATTTCTGTAAAATGTGATGGTTAAATACGTTTTATAAAAGCTGACAGAGTTAACACAAACAAGAAACCCTACACAACAAAGCGACAAAAACACCAAATTGTTATGAAATTAAACAAATTATATATAAATATTGTTTTTAAACCCATCTTCATTTTATTTCATTTGTTATAGTTTCGTGCAGCCCACATAAACAGGCATTTTAATAAAATGAAATGAAATGGGGTTTAACGTCCTACTGTTCTGCTCCTAACTGGGATAATTAAGACGGGCATAGGCCTACGCCATACAGTGTGCTATGAGAGAAATTTTGCCCGGGCAGCGGCACTATCGCCTACTCTTATATCGAATTCCAACTGCCAAGGGATCTTTTACGTGCATTCCAATGTATACACGGGACCTCGGTTATTCGTCTCATCCGAAGGACTAGACAGCTGTACTTGTCAGGCCCTCCGTCTTTTAATAAAACGATGTAGGCTATGGACATATTAGTTTAACTTCTTATGAAGGGTTTCATTTTATAGTATAATGGTCCAATGTGGATTAAAAAGAGGTATAATATTTATAGGTATCCCTAAGAGTTTTGGCCTGATTTTATATAATTGTTCCCTGTTTTGTCTGGTGTACTTATTTCCCCACCCGGATAGAGTCAACACATACTGTAAACCTCCATTGCTTGGCACTCTTATGACTGGTTCCCTTTGACCGGTTTCTTTACCACGGCAGGTGTGTGGATTTCACCTGATTGTAAAACAAAAGTATGACATATTACATTCCAGTGCTTGATTTTGTCTTGATTAAATGTTAACTAATCAATTTGAACAATTTGAAGGCATTGTATCGTGGACTAAGTTGTAAAAAATTAGATACTGCCCCCCACCAAAATACAAATGACGATCAGCAACTTTGTCATTATCAATTGAATACGACCCAGTGACCAGTTCCGATTTATAACACTAGCTAAAGAATAGTACCACCATTTTTTTCAGATTCTTTATTTTCATCAACCAATCTAATTATGTTATCATCAATATTGTCACGAATTGTGTTTTATCCTACATTGGCCTATAACGGTTTTATGACAAGAATCTCCAACAGACAGTGGTACAACAGAATAGATGATACAGTAATCCTTGGTGCCTTACCCGTTAAATGGATTTCAAAACAGGTAGATTACAATTGACTGATTGACCTTGGTGTGGCGTTTAAAGCCTAGCTCGCAAACCAGCCGCAAGAAACCGGAGGAAAATTTTGTATGTGCAGGACCAAATGTCTTTACGGCCAGACTGCGATCTTCTACAATGGTGAACATTCGCAAGTGACGCGTAAAGCCCTGTTTATACAGAGTGCGAACTCGAACGCGTCCATCGCGAACCCGAACTCGAACGCGACTTTTGAGCAGTTTCACCGTTCAAATAGGGCGCGAACCCGAACGCGGAAAACCGTCGATGGCTTTCGTGATGGCTTGTCTTTTTCTAGCTGTGGGAGATAAATTTTGTCATTTGCTATCATGGCGCAGGTGGAATCAGACACAGACGAGATCTTGGCACTGTATTTGTACATAAAACAACGAAGGAAGAGAAGGAGGCGAATATCAGTGCATGAAATTTTACAGAGAAGAAGTGAGTTTGGAGAATACCATCACCTCGTAGAAGAACTATATTGCACACTAGTGGGAACGACCAGGCCTAGCGGTTTCTATTCGTGGAAATAATGACATGGGAAGTGCCTGCTGATTGGTTCATTGGGAAAAAGTTCGCGCAAACTTCTGAAAATTTCGCTCGGGAGGCAATCAAGGCGGTCGTTCGCGCGAACCAATATTTGTTCGGGTTCGGGTTCGCACTCTGTATGAACGGGGCCTCTAAAAATGACTAGAGCATTCCAGGACGAAAAGCCGCGTTCGCGCTCTGTATAAACCCCCCTTAAGACTAAAACACGGCTTTACTACCCCCCCCCCCCCTAGACTGTCCGTAGTAGCACGTACGACGGGTTGTGAGCTAAGCTTTACGTTTGCTTCACGGTAACGATATCGCAGACAAGAAGTAGTATAAATATGAATTTGTAATCTTTCCATTTGTGGTTTATGGCCAGGGTTAATTCAAAACTCGACACTTTTTATCTGGGGTGTTACGGTAGTTCGGCAAGCATGTCACTAGAGACTTTTGGCAAGAGGAATTTTCCCATCCGTATCACGTATCCGTATCGTATACGTGATACGTTGCGTCAAAGTAGTTTTAGAGTTTTGGCAGATTTTTGCGTCGCGTACGTATGAGTAACTGAGCTCAACTTAGTTCTATTTCAGCATGATGGCAGATATCTAACAAGATCACCATCAGTACTAGTCAAGTGCCTATTATAGTCTACAATTTCACGGAGGGAATGAAGTCGCTCGACAGTCGCTGAGCTATTAAAAAAAAATTAATGTCGAATCTTATTAAAAATCTTCGACTTCGACTCGACTGTAATTTTTGGTTTCACTAATGTATCATTTCATAAAGTTTATACCCCTTTACCACAGAATAAAATCATTTTCAGATATGCAAGGTTCCGCCTCCTTAAATTTAGCACGTAGATCAACCATCATGGTTAAAATCATATCAAATATACACCTTCGTGTTCTAGAATACACAAAGATTCATAAAAACGCTATGATACAACATTTCAGCGTCTAAAAGTAGCAAAAAAGACGGTAAAAAGACACGACAATGTTATACGGACCTGTTCCGTATGAAAGCTGTTCGATACGTGCTGCCGTATCCGTGTGTCGTATCACGTATGAGAAATACACACACATTGATGACGTCACAGGCAAAATCCATACGGATACGCGATACGGACCAGAAATTTACGCTTGCCAAAAGTCTCTGATGTCTCTCTAATCGAGATTTTCCAGCCTGCAGGTGTCTCCTTGCCAGTGGTACGGAATGGACGGCCGTGCAGATGAGATGAAAACGGAAGTGGGGTGTATGCCATTGGGTGCCCGTTAAAGTTGCCCTAGCAGTTAAACATCGGGGTCGTTGACATCCGGACAAAATTACCCCCTGTGACGTATTGAGGTCTCCATTAGCCAAGATGATGCCATTTCACTTCTGTTTTATTTGACCAATCTGTTAAACAATAAAATGGTTAATCTCGGCCACATGGATTACAATCACATGGATTACAATAAAGAATTGTTCGCCTTCCCTTTAACAATTAATTAGATAATCTTTATTTGTTCAATATATATATTTGTAGTCACTTTCCATCCAAAATGATAAAAATGTTCTTTGAAATTATGTATAAACAGGCTTGAAGATTAAGGAATTAATGGAAATCATATTAAAAAAAAAAAAAAACGCCTGGTGGATAAGCACATGGACTTCGCATTTGCCCCCCGCCCCCTCCCGCTTCCAAAAGCCGACCCCACTACACGATTGTTGCTCTTGTAGAATATCTGTAAACTAATGAAATGTGCCATGATAGTGTGTAATTCTGTCTGATGTTAGATTAAAATTTGTTTTACATGTAGTTGATTGTGGACGAGAATATTGGTGGTGTTATATCTTTAAATCAAGAATTTGAATTGAAGAGGTTGGTGTATACACTAGAGGTAAGGTTAAATTCAAAATTAGCCTTTGAAGTTTTTTTAATATTTTACTTAAAAGTATAAAAATATTTTCAACAATGCACAAACAGGGATTACTGTCAATCACTGTACATAAACAAACTGCATAATGGTATTCGGAATAAACAAACTATGATTAAAATCTATTTATAATGGTATTCGAAATAAACAAACTAACATTGCGTTCTGCAATGGTATTGGATTCAGCAACCTTCTTCAGGGGCGGATCCAGAGGGGGGGGGGGGTCGACCCCCCCCCCCTCCTGCTCAGCTACATATTTTTTTTTGTAAATCAACACTTTTTATGAGAAAACTTTCTCGGCCGTGTGCTTTATCCTTTATCGTCTGATGTGGGATAGGATAGGCACTCAAAACACGAGATAAAGATATAGACATTATGTGATATCACAATTAATGCTTTGCATCCATGAAATTGAATCACAATGTCATTGTATTAATTCATAATAAAAATTGACGTCAAACGAGGTGTTGAATTTCTCTGTTTAAAAACCTCAATGTGTATGTATATACGCCAAAATGACGATAGAGACCATGCGGGAGGGGGGATACATTGTCTCAGGAACCTGCCCCCCCCCTCCTGCAAACAATCCTGGATCCGCCCCTGCTTCTTATTTTGTATTAACACACAGTCACGTGTTTACGGAGCACAGAGAAGTTCTGGTTTGTTTATTTATAATAACCTGACAGTTTTTCTTATAGCTGGTGTGTTTATTTTTAAAGACTAAATAATTTTTACTTAGGTTTGTACATTATCTAACAATGAATGACAATTATGTACTGGAACTTGGGTGATTGCAGAATTTAATTACAATTTCAGGAATGGAAACAATTAAACGTTACCCAGCTTAAGATTCCAACATTAGATTATATTGGTGCACCATCGACAGCTGATTTAAAGAGAGGTGTAGACTTTATTCTTAAGCACAAAAAAGACCAGAAAAGCGTGTACGTTCATTGTAAGGCTGGAAGAACGAGGAGCACAACCGTGGTAGCCTGTTACTTGATGACAGTAAGTTGAATTAAAACACATTTTATTTATTACAAGAAACTGGACCGAAATGTTTGTCATATTGATCGAGGCCTTTTGTATGTGGAACTTTCCACAATGAAGATAGAATGCAGTTATACTTTTAAAAAATAGCAGTGTCTACAAATCTACATTTACCTCTACGGTGTACTGTTGTAGGAATTCCATATTATCTGAAAATCGTCCAAAATGGTGATTCTAATTATGCTGCCATATTGTAGCCTCGTTGATCATATATGGACCATGATACAAGCATGTGACGGAGTATTTCAAAGAACGGAAGTCTTTCACTGTGAACAATCTGAAGCCACTTTACAATTATTGAACAATTGAAGTGCTTTTTTGTATACAGCTACCCGTAATGGCGGTGTATGACTCCCAAGGTTCGATGGGACTCCCATAAGGAACCCCGAATGATAATTTCCTCGTCTGAACAAATTTGGTTTTAGGTAGAATTTTCAAACTTGATTTAGATGTCCATTATGCAAATGTCTTTACTTTTCGGAACACTGCTTCTAATTGTGATGGAATGTTCTCAGCTTGAGTGTATGTTCACTAAGGTCAATGTGTAGACTAAGCAAAGACAAGTGATTCGGTTTTTCGATAAGTGAGAGTGACAAAACTTAGTGACAACCTTGACTTAGTATGATGAGGGGCATTTTCTGTTCGGGTTAGTCAAGGATAGACAATTTTAATGGTCGAGAATATGGATCACAATAACTTTGAGATTCTAATTGAGGTAGATTGTTCAAATTTGCGTAGATGTTAATGAGGTGAATGCTTTGGACCGAGTTCGATAATAAGCATTTTCTACTCTAGTTAAGTAATAAGCAAAGGACATCAACCTCATTGTTGGCTTGGGTTTTTTTTTTCAGGTGAATAACCTGTCTCCAGAAGAATCTCTGAATTTTATAAAGGATAAACGACCCCATGTTGTTCTCAGAGAGCCACAATATAAGGCCCTGGAATCTTATAAAGAAATGCTTGAAAACTCAGTAAAATGAAATATTTTACAGGTAGATACCTGGTCGTCAAAAATCAATTTTCCACTGGAATGAAAAAAGTTAATATAAGTGCATGTTTTGATTTGTGGAGATACTAACCATTGTTCAGCGTGCCCCTGTTCCGTTTAAAACTTTGATCAATGCTTCTACAGCGATTAACTTTCATCATTGTCATCTGTGTGTTACACCATGAACTCAGAATTGCGACTGTGTGGTACACCATGAACTCAAAATGGCGTCTGTGGACGTGACCAATGTCATTTATAAGCAAAAGTTTGAAAGGCTAGCGATATCACCCAAGGTGGAAGCGGACGTAAAACCCTACAAACGAACGAACAAGGCTAGCGTATGTTTCTTTCCGCTTAGACTTCTTTTTGTGGGGGGCAACGATCGATTATATTCGAATTGGTCCCATAAATGTTACCAAAGGAATAACAAAGGGTATTGGTATCGATTAAGCCCAATTTTCACTAACATTAATGGAGTAAGATATAAATGGATCGAGTGTAACTGCTATACCATACCGAGTAAAATTTGGATCGTTTTAACCACACTATTACCACATTGAGCTCTTGATCGCCTAATATACGCGCGACAGTGCTGATGGAATCATACCCAGTCCTCGTCAAGCGACATATCAGTCGAGCATTTGAGCCGAGCTGCATTGGACTGAAGCTATGAGTAGAAAAATACTATTTTCAAAAAACTTTAATGTACAACATGATTAAATTTTTCAGATTAGGATGAAAATATTGCCTTGTAATAACAATTTATTAATGAATTGCTGTGTTGTGTTATGATATATATCTCTTAATACATACCTACAAAACTGCATGGCACTACATGCAGTTCTTATATTAAGTGTGTTTCCAACCAAATTACCGGTCTCATATATAGATAGCCCCCCCCCCCCCACACACACACACACACACACACCACACACCCACCCACACACACAACAATCACACTAGTCATATGTTTGGGTTACTGCACTAGAATTTGAAAAGATTTATAACACTGGTATTTTAGCTAAAATTCTCTAATTGACAAAGACATTAGAGTTATTTCTTGATACTCAAGGAAGTCATTCTGTTCAACAAGAGGGTGTGTTGTGATTTGACTAGGTGCCCGTTGCCCCGTACCCTATTTTTGTTAACAAAAACGCAAGCCTAGGTCTATTAGTGCATATCCGTGTAAGGGTGGTAATCAAATTCAAGGAGAAATGACTCGTCTAAATCAGTCAATAGTTTTCTTCAATGTCAATTCTTTTGGGCCAACAAATTTGTACGTACCTTATCTCTAGGATCATTGTACCTTTCTAGTAAGACCGTTTCCAAACAACGACGTGGTGATTAAAAACACTTATATGGATATACTGCTTCTGAATAAATTAACATGCTACGTTTCGATACACATACAGGTATCGTTATCAAGCAAATGCAAAATTTGCCTCATAGCATATACTGTATGGCGTATGCCCGTCTTCATTTGCCCAGTCTGTGCAGAACAGTAGGACGTTAAACCCCCATTCCATTTCATTTCATAATGGATGACCTCATGGGCCGAAATTGCTTTAGGCATACACTTGATTTAGTTATAGTTCATTACACAGAGTATTACTCCAAAACGATACCAAATCAAGTATGGCATATTTCTAGATAGGAATTGATATTGTCAAATTGGCTGATCTATTTTGCGACAAAGTTTCGGCCATCAACATTTTTATTGAAATATACGTTATAACAAAGAAAAAAATATATCTAGGTCCTGTTGGTTTTGCTATAATACAAAAATATCGACTTCATCTAGCACTTAAGAAGTCTGTTTCGTAACATCAAACTAAATCCACCTAATGCTAGACTAAAATAATTAAAGTTTAAAAAATACCTTGTATTTTATTGCCTCCCTTGGCCTTTTAAATATTCGAGAAACCGTTACATTAAGTAAAATAGTGATATAAGTTGAACTATAGACATGGGTGAGATTATATTCAAATTTCACATTTGAAAAATAGAGAAAGCAGATTTCACACCGATGAAACGTTTTCGGTGTTAACCATCTTGGAAAAAAGTCTGGCACCCTCAGCACCACCTCAGGCGATGAAGTAAGCAGGACAATGTTCACGGCAATACAGGTAACACCTCTACCAATTATTTTTAGACAATTGAGACTATCATTATTCTAATAATGTCGTAGACGCCATTGTTTATTACTACCTGGGACAGGAAACCCAGCACGCGCCGTTGCAGTTTCTGACTCTTATATAATGTCCTGGCTCGGCCGGAACAATCACGTTCCCAGCACGTCAGGTTACGCCACCATATCTGGAAGTTTCTAACAGGAATAAAATCCAAAAATGATTCAATTACTTGCAGGATTTGCATAAGATGAATTTAAAATTTGTCAACATTTGGAGTACATGTACATATGTATTAGTAATGACAATCGACAAGAAATCATATAGAAATGTCAGAAATCCAAAAGGTAAACGTGCTTTACACATTAAATGACTGATATATTACCCAAGAAAGAATAGGTGCGTTTTCAAGTCCTTCTTGGGTTCTAATATTTTGAGGTAATCTGTTTCAGGGCTTGAATGTAAAATGATTACCAAATTAACAAACCGTGCTACTAACAAAATGGGCTAATGAAGAAGGGCATACGCCATACAGTGTGCAATGAGTGATATTCTTCCCGGATAGCGGTGTGCATGTAAAATATCCCTTGGCAGTTGGAAAATTTTCCCGTATAGCCCGCTACAAGACGAATGCCTGCTTCTTCATTAGCCTAGTTTGTGTAGAAATGCAGGACGTTACACCCCATTTCATTTCAACAATATTTCTACTGTAAATTTTCAATGATTCAAGACGATTATTTCTCCCCTTTAAACTTGGTTTTTGGCCATAAACATCTGCAGAACAAGCACCATATTTTTAATATCGCATACTCCAAGAATTCAGAAATTGTCAAGACACTTGCTCCCAGAAAGATCCCCATCTGGCCACCTAGGGTAGCTGAAATAAATAAAAGATAGACAAATATTTTTGATTTTATCTAGTAAACCCTCTAAAATGATTTTTGACTGATAATACAATGAGATACAAATCTTGCGATTCCGAATTCCGAATTAACAACATCAGATGATGACGATACCACGTGAGACATGTCACCAAGTCTCTCAAAAACGAAATTTCCTGATGCAGATATGGGGTATAAAGTGTGGAAGAGGGCACGAGTACCAGATGTCCGGTTATTGTCGCGAAACGGGTCATTCATTTCCAGTAGTCAGGATCCACAAGAGACCCTTTAAGGTCTTTAACGATCACTTGTGTCGACGCGTGAAAACAAAACGCCTCGACAAGAATGAACAATTGTTTGGCAATATCTAAGCTTTCCGCATCCATATAGATTCAGCACGCAGTACTGACACTGCTCGTCGGCATAGACTGTCTGTCAGACGGCCCTACGTTGGACCATTCTGATTCAACGCCATTACATACATTTCCATATGATATGCTCTAGAACACACAGCATATATCTCCATGGACGTCTTGAACCAAACCGACGTTGTAATGCTCGAATGTCCAACTCTCTCTTCTGGTATTTCGCCAATCGAGCATCTGTGCGGCAATATCGTACGTCGCTTCTGTTTAGGTCCCTTGCTACAAAAACCTCCGTCAACTTCAAGCATCATTGCAACGAGAGTGGAGAACGTTACTGAGTTGTGATTATTACCCCCAGTGTCTATGTGTCATTGAAAAAAAAGATATATCGGGCTTCCGCGGGTTTATTTTCTTAGTTCTGTCAATGTCCAGCATACATTTGAAAAGTAAAGAAATATACCATAGTTTAATATAAAGACTGTTGCTTTAACGTAATTAAGCACATGTTAGTATCAAAGGACCTCTTATGTAGAATGGTCTGGCTTGTCGGGACAGATAACAACGCGATCATTACTATATTTTTGTCTATAAGCGAGATGATTATGATGTGAAACCAACCAAAACTAATTTACAAATAATCAATTTGAATTACGAGAAAATTTGTTTGCTATAAGAAACTAAACATTTGAACTCCGCTAATTAATAGGAGATATCAGGGAATATAAAAGACCAAAATTAGTCTTGGCGAGGAAGTGTCATTTCAATTCATAGGAGAAACAAGATGCAACGTTTTCCATCAGTAGCTGATGCTCGGCTCGAGCGATACATTTTATCTTTGAGTTGGATGTAGACTTATAAAAACGGATATAAGGAAATCTTTGTGTTGCTGAAATACATACGATTGGGTAGCCGTATTTAAAGTAAATAACTTGAAGTAACAGGGATAGTGTAACACGTCGGATGTGGTAAACTTTGGTGGGTTCGCTTTTTATATTCGTCCGAATATGCTACAATCTTCATAAAAACCAGTTTTCTTTTAATTGATGGTGCTATTTTGTTAATTTGATGCAGTATTTAATAATGAAATTATTATGGATGCTAGTAAAATGGAGATCAACTATCTTGATTTATTATTTCATCCGGGTAACACAGCTAGTATAATAATATATCAAACTTTTATAAGCTGATACCTTCACGTTTAATGTTTATTAAATTACTTGCCGACAATATTATCTAAATTATACACTGGAACCTGGCTTGATTCAGTTTCTACCAAATTCTCGTAGAAGATTCTTACTTCAGCATAATTCTTTCTGTATACAAAAGTAAATAAATATTGGTTTAGAACATGACCATTTATATATAATGTTTTACCATGTTAGAATCATTTATTATACAGCGTTTTCAAATTATGGCTTGTTAAAGGAGTGGGCTCAGATTTCAGAAGGCCATTAGGCCAGAAAAATAAAGGATGAACAAGACTTATATCTCTAGTGATTGGACTGGTGATTCAGAAACAATAAAGATAAACACAATGGAAAGTTAGGTGAAATTTAGTGATTTTCAGTACCTTAAACCTGAACTTACCTTAAATCGGAATTATTAAAAGCCCTTTCTATAAAATATTTCATAACTTCTGATGGGTAATAAGCTGTCGAAAGTTGTACTTCATAGCTGGTAGATTCACATGGTGTAGGGCAGTTGCACAATTTGTTACGTATTTGGTTGAAACGATCTGAATAGAGAACATATTAAAATATAATACCACAGGTTCAATATCAACATCAGTATCAAAACATTCAAAATGTGAACATATTAAGATATAATACCATTGTCCCAAATGTTAACACATTACAATATAATACCATAGGTCCAAATAATAATATAGGTCCAATAGAAACACAACATTGAGGTTATGAATGATGTTGTTGTGTCCTTTTCTTTGTTTACTTACAGCTAAATATGTTAGCGTTGTTTTTGCCAAATGTAACAGAGCGTACGTATGGGTGTCAAGCTCTATATGTATGTAGTATAACATTGCTTGATGAAACTAATAGGTTCTAATTTTCTTACCCTTTTCTTTATTATAACACACAAATAATTCTCTTAAGCTACACAGTGTATCATTACCTGAAACAAAACAAAGAGCAAATCATATTTCATGACACAAAATTTTTAATTACATGTATGTTATTTGGTAGATATATGCCCAATTCTAGTTCAACGAAAGCAAGCTTGAGCTCGACATAACCAAATATAACCAATAATAACTTTCAGGCATTTGTGACGCTGTCAAACTGGAATAGGTGATAAAACAAAACATGCTGTAACAACAATTTTCCAATGTGTAGTGTCAGATTTTCTGACAAGGCAAACATGCCAGTTCTCCAGCTTTGAGATATCGTGTGCTTTTCACGTTGACGCCAGGCCCGTTGCCCCCCCTGAAAAAATGTTTCCCCCCCCCCCCCTAAATGTTTTTTACCGACCATAGCTCTAAAATCCTTACTGTAGACTGTGCTAGGTGTGCCCTCCCACCCCTAAAACCTTCACTGTCCCTCCGCAGCCAACAAGCTGGCTACGGACCTGGTTGACGCAATGGATGAAATTGGAGCAATAAAACGGGTTTCTGTAACAACCTGACTAACAAAGGATATTTTACCCAGACACTGGGTAACAAGCTAGTTCGTTACTTGCGAATAACGAACTACGAACCACAAGCTAACTTCACGTCACTAGTTATTTATCGGCGTAGTGACAAAACCAGCAAATACACTATGGTGGCTCAGTGGGTAGGGCACTAACTCACTAACCATGGGTTCCTGGTTTCGATCCCAGTTTTGGCGTAGGATGGAGGGCCTGGTAAAGAAAAAGCTTGTTATATAGTCTTGAATATAGGACGAAAACCCGTGGTCCACGGATGCACTTGTTGGCGGATACGCACAAGAATCCTTTACAATTGCAGCGTTGTCAGAAATGCCGTTGTCTGTAGAAAATGTTCGTCACATATTATCCCGCGGTCTGTGAAAAGTAGGGCGTTAAACCACATTTCTTGTCATTTGATTTTACCGTAATCAGTGTAGTCGACACAATGACATCTTTCTAGCAGATATTTCAGTCGACACTCTTTCTGGCAAGACGTAACGTCGTATTTGTCTGAATACTTCAAAGTGTGGTTGTAACTAGGGGCCTTGGTATCAAGACAGGTTATGGTGCCAAATGCTTTAAATGGACTTGGTAAATGTCGATACTGTAAATATAAAGGAAGATGTTATAAACAGTTAACAAAGAAATGTAGAGAATATATTTCCCCCCCCCCCCCAAACTCTTCAGTCTACGTACCTCTACAATACCTTCGTCTGCTATTTTCTAGAAGCATTGATACGATAGGATAGGCCTACGTTATTTGTTAAAACTATGAATTCACACCTAATCAAAAGAAATATTATGTTCCTGCCTTTGTGTTAAAATATTAAAAAGCTGTAACTTCTCCTATGTTGTTCATTCCTGTTTAAAGTAATAAAGAAAGATAGTCATGCAAAGCATAGAAATACGATCACACAGTGTCTATGTCTCTAAAGATAGCAGTGATCCCAAGGAAAACTTTAATATAAATTTTTTATGCCTTCTTGAAATCTGATATCTATTGTGTTCACAAGCTTTTTCGGACTCAAACAGAAAATCCTGGAATGCAGCAAATGGACAATGTTCATGTTCTCTGATACCTTGCTTCACACCAAATTTGAAAATCAATAGCTTTTATTCTTTGGAAAAAATCCATGAAACAACATAGACTTTAGCAGGTTTAGGGATAACATAATGCTCAAAATCGGTAGGGCTTGTCCTCTCTTCACCTCTATTGTTTCAGACCAAAAACGCCAAATAGAGTTCATCATGACGCTTATGCTTCACACATAATTGGAAAATAAGCTGTTAAAAACTGAAGACTATAAGCGTTCACATGCCAATACGGATCGAAGTATAGGATGATAACTACATACAAGCAAAAAGGTGGTCGTATAATAACTGAATGTGAAAGGAGGCTTTTGGCTGAAGATGTTCTTTTAGTTCATTGAATGGAATCAGACCGAAGGAGAAAAAGCTGCTCTTATATATATTTATCAGTATTCAGGCCTTTACATACCTTGATCTTTTTAACACTAGCATAGGTTGTGAATCCGGGTGACACCAAAAAACCTTTGTTAATGAAATCTGGTTCTTCATCTGGGTCATGAAGCACAACCTGAAAAGACCCAAATGTTGCACATGCCCGTCTTCATTAGCCCAGTCGAGCCAGAACAGTAGGACATTTCATTTATTATATCAAAGAACATAGTTTAATTGACAAATGGACAACGATGATATAAAGTTTATAAGAAAGAATAATAATTTTGTTTTAGTTGCGAATAATGAAACACGTTATGTCTCGTTCTTCGTTATTCAAAATTTGAATCCCGAATAACGAAACACGATTTAACTTCCCGCTACCCCATTGCCCCATTCGTGAAGATTTGAGTAAAATCACTGAAATCTGTAGAAATTGTACAATATCAACAATCAAGTAGGTCAGATTCCTTAACTCTGAAAATACTTTCACAAAATATTAAGTACATGCGTATACCAGGAACCGAACATGGTGTCATCGCAGCCATCTTGGAATTATGATGTAAAAATTGTCCTTCCGTCCCGTCGTCCCAAACGAGAACAGCATCACAAGAACAGTAGCACTTGCTACAAGTTCCTGGTCCAAAAATCGATAGGAACAATCTGTAAACTATTACTTAATATTTAAGAAAACATGATCAAAGTCTAGACGAAAAACGAATCGACGGGGAGACGACAATATATATATACATTTAAATAAAATTTCTTTAATTGTATTTTCTACTTAATCTTTTAGAATGTATTATATCCTTTTACGGTAAGCACCCTTTTAATTTATATATACATGTATATACATTAATTGTATACTTAGGCCTACATATTAATATTAGGGCATTAACAATATAATTTGAGCGGGAGAACAAGGCGTACCAGTAAGTACAACAATCATATAAATCAGGGCAATGACTTACGAGAAAAAGTTGCAGTATTTACATCAGTACTCATAACATAATATAGATCGACTAATTCACGTAGCACGAAGCCGATTGCAACCCTTATATTATTAGTCGATTGCAACCGTTATTTGCCGATTTCAACACTTATTGCAGAAAGCATACTGAAATAGATGAAAGTTACTTGCCTTAAATCCAGCCCCAATCTGTAAACTGGGGATATAATTTTTTTGGTCTACGAAGAGATACAAACGTAGTCCCAACTGACTCCCCGTCAGTGTTGTTGAAGGCTTATCTTTTGATTTGGCTGTGAAACATAAACCAGCGTCTGTAATTTTAGCTACGAAAACTTTTGAACATGGGATTTCCATGCCTTCGAAGAAACAGTACTGAATCATATTTTGCAGCGAAAATGCTACCTGTTGATAAAACTCTCTTGTTGGGGGTACATTAGCAAAGTCGTATTTTGGTGCAGAAAAGTTGATGGGTGATAATAAAGAGCCAAGTGCCGACATGGCTATCAATATGTTGTTCATCTCGTTTGTCTTTGGTAAGTGTGAAGCGTTGAAAGGAGATATGTTACATATTGTAACTTGTGGATAATCAATTTTATCTACAACGGATATTTTTAGTGAATTAGTGTAGGGGTATTTATAGTAATCAATGGCCAGGCTGCTGGTGACAAAAAGTAGTGCTGACATCATACCAAAAACACCTATCAACCATATTATCCTGTAAATAAATAAAACAGCGTGTGAAAGTATACTGACAAAACAATCAATCATCCCTTTATATTACTGATACTACGGGATATTAAACAATAGGCCACGGTGAATTAAACCAGTTCATTCCCCGAGTTCAAAATGCTCGTGTTATGTTCCTGAAGATGTATCGATGCTAATCTAGCTACACGCTTATCTTCGAACCCGTCTAATAGTTGAGACTTTTCAGATGTAAAATAGTTATCCAATATGTGTGGTAGTTATCCTCAACAACTTAACAGCCTTCCGTAAAATCAAATCCAAATTTGTATAAACGTTTGTTTAGGATTCTATTCACATATAGGAGAGAGCGAAATGAGGTTTAACTTCCACTGGACACTACCTAGGCCATTTCGGGACGAACATATGGTTCAATTTTATTTCAATAATTCGCTTGCACGTAGGGGTCTTTAGCAGCGAAAGGAAACCAACGTGGTGTGACAGACGGCCCTACTCCTTGTCAAGTAAAAGCCGGGAATCGAAACCACGCCATTTGACTCAATGACCGCCAACAACACCGACTAATATGTAAACAATGACTAATCACATACCTTGTATCACAGTCAACCTTATTTATAACAATAAAGGGTGATATAAAAAAAATGATGAAGAATATCTACATTAGATTTTTATACGTCCACATTTTCATGTAGACGTATATTGTCGTCGACCCTGTCCGTCCGGACGACCGTCCACAATTTGTTTGTGGACACTCTACAAGTCACAATTTGTATCCGATTTTGACGAAACTTGAACTATAGGCCTATCTCCCAAAGATCTCAGTTACTTTCGATATTGGCATGTATCGGACGTTAACTTCATGGATTATGAACCCTAATTGTAAGAAATATCACGTTTTTAGCTTTTGGACACTGTAGAGGTCACAATTTTGATCCGATTTTGATGAAACTTGAAATATCTTGTTTCGGATCTTTACTTCCTGAATTGTACGAAAATTAATGTTTTTAGCTTTTGGACCCTCTAGAAGTCACTATTTTTACAAAATATATATCTTTATATCCCAAATATCTAAGTCCATTTGGATATTTGCGCATTTCAGATCATAACTACCTGGATTATAGCCCATGATTATACGAAAAACCGCTTTTTTTAGCTTCTTCTCTATCCATCTCTTGCAAAATCAGGGCGTTTCCTGACTGGCAGCCGCTGGTTAAAAGATTTGTGAAATCTGTCTTCAAGAGATTTATAAGAGTGGAAGACTTCACGATATTAAAACAGAGGAATTCGAACAGTGGCAGATTAATCGTCCCCGTACGCAAAATAGAGAGAAAATCGCACTATTATTATTATCATCATTCCTTAATAGAATGAATTGTTTTCTTAAATAGGATCAATAACGAATTATATCTCTAGGATCGTTTATACCATGATTTTATTGTTATGTTGATATTGAGACACAACGACCGGTTAATGAAGAATTTATGAACTGATAGATAACCACTGTAAATTCGGATTGAAATGTACGCCTTACATTGCGATTAAATGACATTTACGAATTCTTTGACACACATCCAATAATTCAGCACTGGCAGGACCGGATTAAGACCTATTGTGGCCTTGATCACTTAAAAGAGTTTGTTGCCCCTATGTAATTCAAACTATAAACAATAAAATACCATAAACAACGACCAAGCACGTGATTAGAGTTCACCAGTAAAGTTGTACACGTCAAAAATAATTGCGACAAATAGGTAACAGTATGAAAAGACGAGAACAATGAAAATATATAAAATTTGACATGTAACAAAGCAGATATTCTGTGGTGCCGCTATTACCATGATGTCTAGGGACATGCTTATTTGGCTTAATGGTTAATCCAGCACTGAGCACTGGCAATATACCCTTGAGCTAAAGATCAACTTTGTCGAACAAAGGTCCGTTATTGCATTCAAAGATAACTTTTTCGATTAAAGGTCAGCATATTTCACAGATCTTCTATTTCAATCTAACAGATGAAGTAGTTGATCCGTGATCGTCGATAATGTTTGATCGAAGAGTTTGACTTTGCCCTGTGACTGAAGTGTAGTCAAAATGCTGATATGTAGTCTGTGACGTAAACGTTTGATTGAAATTGAAGACTTTGTGTCGAGAACGCCGACCTCATATCGATATTTGAACTTGGTTCGCCAAATTTTTGTCACTTGCATCGTTATGAAATGCGTCACTCCCATAGACTTTTTACAATTTTCCATAAGTGACATAATTTCGGAACAAATATAGCATTATAAAATTATGTTATTTGAGGCCAGGGGTAAAGAACAGGATATTAAATTGTTAAATATTTGTACAAACATTCATTGTTCTTCATACAGATTTATGTCATAATACAGTGAGTATTTTTAATTAATATCAGGTTGATACAAAAAAAAACAATAATATTTTTGACCCTTTTCGGAACACCTCTGTAGTTTTTCTATTTTCATATATTTTATATAGAATTAGTGCAGGATTATACTTTTGTAAATTTTCATGTATCTTAAAATGAAAGTAAATCATTTACCTTCTGAGCATATGGTGGTTATCTTCAAAGGCGTGTTTAATCCCATGTAGCGAAGTCGATTGCGCAAAATCCGACCAGGTACATCCATCATCGTTTTCCTTTCGCGAACACCTTTCCCTGCTTTCCTCTGGCAGCTGATTTGACGATTTCACGTGGATCTTGGGCATGTTCTTCTTCATAAAAATCACCGAACTGAACGTCCAAGTTACAACAAAGCAGAGTAGACTACAAACCGTTTCCAGATTTTATTTAACCTATTCATGGATATAAAATACACACGATACTATTCCATGGAATACAATTCCTTAGTTTATATCAAGCAAGGATATACTTCTCTGATCTTCATTAAACAATGATGAAATATAATTTATTTCATATTTGCTATTTCTTCACTGCTTGATAAAACTAAAGATTCCTAACCGTGCTTGATAAGTACAAGGGGAATCCTATCATAAGATTGCTACATACATAAATATATGTATATATTTATTCTCAATCCTCAATTTTCCCGAAACACCGTTCAGTAATAAACAGTCCGATTCGATAACTAAATGTTATTGGAACAGAGTATGAATACAAGTGATGCCATTCTTACCCGAATTCATGTAAAACAATTAACAAGAGAAACTGATTAAATTGTGCTCATAGAATCAACTGTATGTTTACGTATCGTTTATTAAAGCAGGGTATATCAAGGCTATAGAGTTTTGTCATTAATGTTTCAGATATTTTAAAGAAAAAGTAAATCAATGTCAACTAAAACCCACAATAACACCCATCAAACGAGTGATTGGAAAACTACCTAATACCGTTTGACTAATTGATAACGAGTAAACCAAAGTATTGTTTATGTATCTCTTGGGATGCTATGTATTAATTGCAGTCGTAAAATGTTTATTGATATTAATAATGGCATACATTTTAGATGCGATCG